AAAAAAAAGCAAAAACAGTTTCTTTTTGCAGTTCGCTTCATCCTTTTATTATCTGGCCTGGTTCTTTTTATGCCTGATTGGCTCTCTCTCTCTCTCTCTCTCTCTCTCTCTCTCTCTCTCTTTCTATCAGTGGCCTCTGGAATGTCCCATATGTTTCTGGTGTCTACCTGGTCAAGGGCAGCATCCTGAGGTCGCAACTTGCCCAGCTGGACCTTTTCCACCATGGAAAACTGGATGCCGATATGGCTCTGTGCCATAACATGCGTGAGCAGGTTGGTGCGGGAAAGCAAGAAGCTCTCCGCCTTTATTGATATTAAATTGGATTCTTTATCCACTCAAGCGTGATGGGACACACAAAGAATTTGTCTCTGGTGCCTAAGCTCACAGTGTATCCTGTTTCCCCGAAAATACGACCTACCCCGAAAGTAAGTCCTAGCTTGATTTTTACACGTGCGCCCAATATAAGCCGTACCCCAAAAGAAGCCCTAATTAAGATCCCGCCCACTCCAGAGTGGACAGGTAAAAATTAAGCTAGGGTGGGGATGTGGAGGGTGGAGCTGCCCTACTACTTACCTTTGGACAGTTGTAGCCAGGCCTTACGCACCCCGACACCTGCCTTAACGGCCTGTTTCTTCTGCAGCCGGCAAGGCTGGCAAGGCTTTCCCGAAGGCCTCTGGAGCTGATAGCAAACTCAGGATCGATCCAGACCTCAGTTATGGCCTGCAGAGGCCTTCAGGGGAGCCTTGCTGGCCGCAGAAGAAGAAATTCTTGAAGGCCTCTGACAGCGAAAAGGAGGCCGGGGGCGACATTCGCAAGTGAGGTTAGTCAATGGATGATATCCCCACAGAATAAGACCTGGTGCCTTTTTCGGTGGGAAAAAAATATAAGACAGGGTTTTATTTTTGGGGGAAATACAATACATATAAACAGCAGGTAAATAGGTCATAATCATAGCTCTTTGTGGGCCCTATCCGTCATCAGATGTTGGCGATCCTATTTTTATCAACAGCTGCAGGAAAAAGTGCTGCTGAGTTTTGTCCAAACTGGTCCCTTAGATTTTGAAGCCATGATGTTCTTCTTCTACCTGCCTTCAATCTTTCCTTGGAGGATTAAGTGAAGGATGTTGTATTTTTCCAGGTGTTGCATTCACAATGGAAAGCAGGCTGGTTACAATTGCTTTTTCTGCAAAAAGGAATTAGGACTATATTATACAAGGTGCAGATGAAGTCAAAGAAAGAGGAAGAAGACCACAAATAAAATGAAGCATCAGGGATGTTGGGAGTTACAGTCCCATAATAGAGGAATTATTGAGTCTGTCCTCTGCACCTCTATCACTGTCTGGTTTGGTTCTGCAACCCAACAAGTCAGACACAGACTTCAGAGGATAATTAGGACTGCAGAAAAAACAATTACTACCCACCTGCCTTCCATCGAGGACCTGTATAAAATGCACGAGTCAAAAAGAGGGCTGTGAAAATAACTACAGACCCCTCACATCCCGGACATAAACTGTTTCAACTCCTTCCCTCAAAATGACGCTATAAAGCACTGCACACCAGAACAACTAGACACAAGGACAGATTTTTCCCAAATGCCATCACTCTGCTAAACAAACAATTCCCTCAACATTGTCCAACTATTTACAAAGTATTTACTACGAGTACTATTAATCTTCTCATCACTCTTTATCACCCATCTCCTCCCACTTGTGACTGTATGACTGTAACTTTGTCGCTTGTATCCTTACGACTTATATTGACTGTTTCCTAGTATGACTTGATTGCTTATTGTACTCTTATGACTATCATTAAGTGTTGAAACTTATGATTCTTGACTCTTGATGAATGTATCTTTTCTTTTACGTCTACTGAGAGCATTTGCACCAAGACAAATTCCTTGTGTGTCCAATCACCCTTGGCCAATAAAGAATTCTATTCTATTCTATTCTATTCTATTCTATTCTATTCTATTCTATTCTATTCTATTTCTATTTCTATTTCTATTTCTATTTCTATTTCTATTCCATTCTATTTCTATTTCTATTTCTATTTCTATTTCTATTTCTATTTCTATTCCATTCTATTTCTATTTCTATGCCATTCTATTTCTATTTCTATTTCTATTTCATTCCATTCTATTTCTATTTCTATTTCTAGTCTGTTTTTATTCTATTCTATTCTATTCTATTCTATTCTATTCTATTCTATTCTATTCTATTCTATTCTATTCTACTTTACTCTACTCTACTCTACTCTACTCTACTCTACTCTACTCTATAAGGGTTTGTTTGGTTTTTTTCTGCAGGGGGTGTTCATGTTTTTGACAAACCAGCAGCTGTTCGGGCACATCCTATCCTTGGAGAATTATCAGACAAGCCACCTGCATAACGATCTCTGGCAAATCTTCAGCAACCCGGAGGTGAGCAGGCTTCCTTTCTCTGGAACCTGAGAGTGAAACAGGTGTGGGGTGAAGTGGGGGCCAGTTTGAAAGGATTAAAAAAGGGGGGAGGGATTGTGTTTCTTAGGGGGAAAGAATTTGAGAACAAGGGCTCACACAGAAAGAGGGGGGCAGAGGCTGAAAAAAAGACCAGGAATTATAGATGTTGGGCGACGCTGTCTCTCAAAGCAGATGTTGTGGCCTGTCGACCGCTGGGCCCTTCAGCCGCCGAATCAGAGGAGGAGGAGGAGAAGGCGTGGGAGTCAGGGCCAGCATCAGGGCAACCTGGGAGCTGTGAGGGAGAAGAGGGAATGGAGCTGGCAGAGAAAGAGACAGAGACGGGGCCTAGGCCGTCTGTCAGCCCTCAGATGGAGAGTAAACAGCCCCCAGAAGGAGGTGGCTGATGAGGAAGAGAAGGAACAGCCGGGTCCAGTGCCTGACTGCGGATGCGCAGAAAGAAGAGGAGAGGAGAGCAGTGGAAATCTATGGGCTGGTCCTTGGGACGGAAGAGCCACTGCTGCTAGCGAAGCCCCACCCTAGCTCTGGGGATATAAGGCATGGGGCGGAGATGAACGATTCATCTTCCAGATGAACGGACTTGTTAGCCTGCGGTGAGAGAGAGAGAGAGAGAGAGAGAGAGAGAGAGAGAGAGAGAGAGAG